GATTGAGATATCAGATATTTTAGCAAACACTCAAAATACTCAACAAACAAAAAAAATTAAAATGTTAATGGACGGTGAACCACGAATTGCTTTCAATAACTGCACAAATGTGACTGTAAGTATTCAAAAATAACAATTAATTTTATTATTATAAATAATGGTTATTAACAAGTAATCTAAGAAGTTATTAAGAGGTAACTAAGCTACTTAGATTACCTCATTTGACCAATCAAATTGCCTCATTTTACCTGACTATAATCTAAAATAGTATTATTTAATTTACCGGGAAATTATCTATTCAACCTCCCGGAAATTTACTTATTCAACCTCCCGGGCTACTTATTCAACCTCATGGGAAATTATTTATTAACCTCCCGGGAAATTGGAGGTAAGTTAGTTATCTATGAACCTAAAACCAAGCAATCTGATTGGTCAATTACAACTAGGCATGGTAGAATATCAATAACTGTGTTACATCCACATTTTTCGCATATTCGTGGTCTTGAAATTGTTTTAATTGCATGCAAAGCCTTGCAGCTAATAGCAACTGAATTTATGGATCATTGTTCTAGCTGCTGCTTGGGTAAGTGTTATCATTTTTTATTCAATAAACTGTTTTTATAGTAACATGTCTCAAAAAGGTGCAAGAGTGACCTCCGGTCAATAGACAATTATCAATAATATTAGAACCTTTTTGAGAGGGAGAGAGAGCAACAATGACTAATAAAAAGAGACCAGGTAGTGGCTAGAACCTCACTTTCTGCTGGAGTAAGTGAATCCACTGTCAAACGAGTCACTAAGGAGTACAAAGCTGAGGGAGACTTAGAGTCTCGAGAAGAGATTTGTCAAAGACAGAGTAAATTTTTATCCAGATGACTTCAACAGATGCCATCAGAAGAATCATTCATAATACTTACTTAAACAGGGACTACCCTATTCTGGATTCAGTGTTACACAAAGCAAGGTCAGCTGGTGTATTTGACTGTGGATGAATGACTCTCAGTAAATGACTTAAATCTATGGGGTTCCGTTACAAAAAGAGAGAGAATAAAAAAGTACAAACCTGGGTAATTGAACAGTGTCATCAGCATCTTCGTCAAATGAGACTTAACAGAGACTGAAACGTGGACCAACTCACACAGTGTTCCTGAGAAACTGTGGGTAGACAGAAATGGAACTGGAGACATCCAAGTGGTAAGGGAGAAAGGTTCATCATTGTACATGCTGGTAGTTCCAATGTGTGGGTTCTCAACTCTTAAAAAATTTTTGGTTCAAAAAAATTCTGGAGACTACCATGATGAGATGAATGCTACTGACTTTTTAGAATGGTAAAAATTTGGTCTTGTTTCCAAACTTCCTCCCAATTCTCTCATTATTCTCGACACACCAAGTATCATAATACTGTTGTCGAGAAAACACAAACAAATAGCTTCACAAAGGAAGTAATGAAGGCATGGTTGGACAACCATGAAGTTATGTATCATCCAAATAATTTGAAAAAAGATCTCTTTGAAATCATCCCATCATCCCACACCTCCACAGTCTATCACACAGATAGAATAGCTCATGAGTATGGACACGAAGTAGTCAGGCTTCCTATCTTCCACTGTAAAGCCTACATTCATGGTGAGGCACTAACTACAGATGAGATACTTAAATCAGTTGGTACCATTATCCATGCATAAATCTTCCTGGAGTACCAGAAGATGACAAGGGTTAGTCCATTTTGTGAGAGCACAGTATAAAACAGTATAACAGTTTTGATAATAGTGTTTGATGAGAAATAACGTTAATAAGTGTTAATAACTATTGATGACAAAATTGCCCAGCTTTATCATCCACAAGAGACAAAATTGGAAGAAGCCACTTGAGTTGAAGTGCCTGCTAATACCAAAAACAGTGCCAAAAAGGTGTGGTTTTAAAGCAAAGCACCCTGCTGCAGTGTTTTTGAGTTGTTGTAGAACAGTTTTATAGTGGTGAATGGCCCCACTAAAGCTGATAAAGAATAAATCAATAGCTGAACACCAAACACGTGGTCTTATTGTCATATAACGGTTTCCATGGCATTTAATTAAACATTTTTATTACCACAAAAATAATTGTAGCAGCCTCAACCTACGGTATAATTATATTATTATCTAGTTATTGCTATGGCTTGTAGATGCAAGTGGTCTGCACAATCAATGGAGCAAGCAGTTTCAAACGTTAAAGATGAAGGAAAAGGAGTTAAGGAAAGTGTAAAGGTTGTATGATGTGCCAGTTGAAACACTATGCAAGAAAGTAAATGGGCACATTGACATGGATTGCTGGCCTGGGCCTGCTGCAGTCCTTGTAAAGAAAGGAGGAACAGATCGATCGTTACTTGTTAGAAATGTGTGATATGGCATTTGGTCTTAGCAGAGAAACAGTTACGAGAATTGCTTTTATTGTTGACAGAAATACACATGAGAAACATCCATTAATGGGAGACGAGCATGGTTTGAAGACATTTTTCAAATCTTACAATCCAAACATACCAACCATTACCAAACAGAGCTGGAAACCCTCAAGTAGTAATATAAGGTTTTTGAAAAATTGGGAGCTTAACGTGGGAGACCAAATTCGTTATCAAGGCCTGCGCAGGCATTTGTGCAGATAAAACTAGTGTTACTATTGTCCCTAAGCCAGGGTAAGTGCTAGCTGAAGTAGGCACAGACATGAATATTCAATTGTCTCTGGTGATAAAGGAAGGATTCACACAATCCCGGTGTGCACTTCTGCCTTTGGGTATGTACTGTAACCACTATTGATATTTCCATGTAAAAGAGCAATACCTGATAGTTTGAAAAACATGTATATTGCCATATACACAAAACTATTTGCAAATACACATGTAGTTCTAATGGCTGGAATATCTAAAATTTACATTGGCTCCATTTTTTGTGAAAATATTCCTCCTATACAGCCTATTCTCTTGATTGTTCATGGTCAATTGTCACATTTATCCATTGAGGCAACTGAATTTGCAAAGGCAAACAACATACATGTCTTCTGCTCCTGCAACCTTTGGATAGTGCGGGTATTCAAAAGTTTCAAGTTGCACTTTTCAGAACTTGTCATGGAATGCCCTCTGAATGTGCAATCTTTGATGATGCTGTGTAGCAATGAAATTTGTTCCTCCTGGGCTCGCCACACATTGTTCCCAAACTTAGAGAACATCTGAATCTGCACTAGCTTTATCTACCAATTTATCAATATCATCAAATGCATTAAATTTTATATCATTATACACAAGGACTTCTATCTCCACGAAAAGTCAAAGGCCAAATCATCTATGAATTTCAGTCCACCTGTTACTAGTTTTTAACCACTGCTCACTAGAGATGTACCGATATGCTTTAATACCAATATTCTGATAGCAGATATTAAGCCCAAAATTTTAACCGATAACCGATGCTGATATACATGTACAATTAATAATAGATTAATAGTAATCAATGACACAGTTAAATTTTAAAAACCAACATTTAAAAATAATATTCATTTATTAAATCAAAGTTTCCTTTAACAAAGAGAAGTTGTTCTGCTTTATCAGGACTCAATCTGTTCCTCTTTTGAGTATAAATATCACCAGCAGAAGAAAATAGCCTCTCTGACGGGACTGAGGTTGGTAGGGCTGACAAATATTTCATTGCCAGTGTGGCAAGATGAGGAAATCTCTTTCTATTATCTTTCCACCAGCTGTAACATACCCCACTACTAAAAGGTAATAATGGCTCAGCTAAATACCTCTCTATTGCAGCAGTAGCAGAGTTAGAATGACCTTCCTCCATATCCAATTCTTCTAAAATTTCTGATAGGCACTTTATCACTGTAGTTTTAGGCTTCTTTCGCTGTGGTTCTTCAGGCTGTGGTCCTTGTAGCGACTCAATTTTACCGTTTAATAGCACTTTAGCTTAAAGACGATTAACAGGTCCACTGAACATCGATCTTTGAAGCAGGGATCTAATATAGAGGCTAATACTAGTGCTTCATTTCTTTCTAGATCAGAGTAATGATCATTAAGTGAAAGTAACATAGCTTCTTTCATGGTCCGAACTCCTCTGTCAGTCTCATCATTATTTTCCAGATATTTATGCAATGCTCTTACAAAAGGAATCACAAGAGTTACTAGATGAAACAGATTGAGTGATCTCTTCAATAGGAGAAAGTAATGTGATGAGTTTATTAATGTGATGAGTTCATTTGTTAACTGGATTATATTGTTTTCAGTAGAGTAGGCAGCAAGCCAACTTTTTGTTCCTCAATAGACTGGAGCATATATAGAGTACTGTTCCAACTAGTAGTCACGTCTTGTTTTAGACTGTGCTCTGGAATGTTTAGGTTTTTTGTATTTGTTTGAGTTTGGAACAAGATAGAGAAGAGTGCTTAAAATGCCCCACAATATATCTGCAGACAGCCAAGGTATCGATCACTGTTCTCTATGTTAAAACACCATCATGGATAATTAGTTGTAGCATGTGTGCAAAGCATCCTAGACTGTCATAGCCTCCGTCATTCATCGCTTCTACCATGTTACTAGCATTGCCCGTAAAACAAGATGAACCGCTTCCTTTTCTATATGCCACTTCTGAAGCATGAGAGTGAATATGTAATATATATACCATGGCTTCGAGGTGTATATCAGCAATATGGGACCCTCGCCCCTCGATATCTGCCCTCGGCTTCGCCTCGGGAAGATATCTCGGGGCTCGGGTCCCATATTTGCTGATATACATCGAGAAGCCATGGTACATATAATATATTCTCTACTTACTGTAGCATCAAAGATGATCACCAAAAAAGGCTTAAAGACTTTTAGTATCGCCATTGTTGTGCAACTTGCGCATGCGTAATTGTTACATAATGATATTCATTAGATAGAACTGCGCATGTGCAGCAGACCCATACACATGATGTGACACGTTCTATAATTCTATTGTTTTCTTCTTGTTCGGTTGTTGTTCTTATCTTATCTTGTCATGAAAAGAAAGCGTGAGTCAGAGTCAGAGAAGCTTCTACCAAATAAGAGGCCTTCCCTGTCTACTAAAGACAGGCCCAGCCGATTTGTATATGTGACTGAGTCTGAATTAGAATCTTCTAGGACGAAGTACGTTCTACAAAACACCGAAAAGGCTACGAAGTGGGCAATCAAAGCTTTTACAGAATGGGCTGAAATTAGGAAGGAATCTGGAAGAGAGGCTCCTTCATCTGACATATTGCTAACGGGCAGTGCTAAAGCCGTTTGTGACGCATTGTGTCTTTTTGTCTCTGAAATACGACAGGCAAATGGTACTCCATATACTCCAAGGAGCTTATCGTCTATTATGGGTGGCCTTCAGCGTTATATTAATACTAATTCACCTCATCCACATAAAATACAGCAACCAGATGGTGAGTTTAAACCACTTCACACTTGTCTGGAGAATCTCTATGTAAAGCTGCATGACCAAGGAGTAGGTACGACAAAAGTTCAAGCTGATGTCGTTACAGCAGAAGAGGAACAACAACTTTGGGAAAGCGGTGTGTTTAGCACTCAAACGCCTGAGGGACTACTGAATGCTGTGTTTTATTATAATGGTGTGAACTTTGTACTCAGAGGAGGAGAAGAGCACAGAAGCTTAAAATTATCTCAGTTTGATTTTGGTAGCATACCAGATCCAGGGTTTCCTGGCAAATCACTGGAATATGTCGATTATACTGAACATGGATCAAAAAATCGTCCAGGAGGGAGTAAACAACTAAATTTGGAAAATAAACAAGTACGTTATTATGCTCAATCACAGCTTGGTGATCACTGCCATGTTTCTTTGCTGAAATTGTACATCTCAAAACTTCCACCAAATACTGAAAATTTCTATTGCCGACCACTAAAAGTTATAAAGGATGAGAATCAACCATGGTTTTCAGGCGTACCAATTGGTCATAACACTCTTAGTAAGAAATTCAAAAGTATTTGTGCAGCTGCTGAATTAAACATCGAAAATAAGTCCAACCATAGTCTTCGTGCAACAGGAATATCACGAATGTACAGGGCATCTATACCAGAAAAGGTTATAATGGAAAGATCAGGACATTTGACAAAAGAGGGAGTTCGCTCATATGAGCGGACTTCTATGGAACAGGTAAAAAGTGTCTGTTCCATTTTAGCTCAATCTGTGCCTGGATGTTCAAAGGAAAATGATGCAAGTGTATCAAATGTTGCTACTACAAGGGAAGGCAATTCAGCAGACACTGGGGACAGCAAGCCACCAAAAACTAGTCTGAATCCAGTTGATGAAGCAACATCGAAGAGTGTTCAATTTCAAGCTGTTCATGGAGGCACTTTTAACATTCATTTAAACTTCAAGTGAAACTAATAGTGACTGCAAACTGAGCTCATTTATTCTCTTGTCATTTAATCTCTTATCTTATTCTATTCATTATTATTAATAATAAAAAATGTAGGCACTGCCCAACGGATGTGGTTATTTTATTAGAGGCTAGGCCAATAGGTAAGCAGTATATATATACCTACCTCCCAGTGCCTTTGATGTGGCTCCAGGCCAGGTATATATGGCAAATATACTACCTGGCGGCGTCTTTGATGCTACAGTAAGTATAGTATATAGCACATATAATTGCTCCATGGAGACACTCTGGAAAAGATTGAACATGAAGTACTGCTGAGTTTAAGTCGAATGAATTTGTGACCAAGTGAGCAGTAAGACAGATCATAGAATGATTGCTCGCATCAGTAGATCAAATATCAGTAGTAAAGCTAAATGATATTATACTGTCTAACTCTTTCGTCACTTCTTTTGCTATCCCATCGTATATTTGTGGTAAGACACCCCCTGAAATATATCTCCTACTAGGCAGCACATATCTAGGTTCCAGCAGCTTTACTAGGGAGGCAAATCCTCTGTCATCAACAATGCTCAGTGTCTGAAAATCCAGGGCTATCATTTCACCAACTTTTTGATGTACAGCTTGAGATTTCGGGTCATTTATATCCCAAGATCTAGTTCTCTGAAGTGACTCACCAATACTTAGTTGTTTCATTGTTGAACTAGAAGTAGTTTGTTCCACTTCTGGTCCTTCGACTTCTGCTCTTTCTCCTTTTCTAAAAACTCACGATACAATTCAAAGTGTTTCTTCAAGTGAGCTCTTAAATTAGAGGTAGTGTAGGTCTTAGTTGAGCTCCCACCTCTAGATACATCCTCCTTACAATGACTACAACGAGCATACTTCATATTGTCACACAAATTTAAAATATTCCAAACAACAGACTTCTTTCCTCCTGTCACCGCCATTTAAAAATATTGACCATGTGGAAGTTTGTTGTACTGCGCATGCGTAAACACGTGTTCATATCTGTTAAAGATAAAACCAACACCAATATGAATCATTGGACCTTAATATCGGCCAAAAACAGATAACTGATCCGATAATCGGTGCATCTCTACTGCTCACTTGAATCACAATTACCATCAATGGATGATGCATCTTTCAGAAAACTTTCAAGAATTTCGCTTTTTTCAGAATCAAATCAATTTTTTCAATCAATTTTCTAATTACAAAACCAGCTGTGTACCTAACTGAATTTTGCTCTACTTGGGACAGCACTCTATGACATTTGGTAGCACTGCTGCTGCTACATGTAGCTTGCAGGCTCAATTCTTTACTGACGATTTTTTTCAAGACACACTGCCACAAGATCATATTATTACATATGTCTACATGAAATTTCCCATTTTTTTCTTGTTCTTTCAAAGAAACTGGTAAATCATACACTCCAAAGTGATGCAGTTTCTGATGGAACTTAATCATATTTATTGGCAGCAAAATTTCCTCCACTTTATCTTGAACATAGGAAATGGCACTTTCAATCTCATCAGATTCCTTTAATACTTCAATATGAAATTTAATTTTCTCAGTAATAGGTGCCTTCACTGCAAACTCTTTGGCCTTTTGAACTTCTTCAAGTATGATAGCTACCATATTGAATAGCCATGTGATTTCACGTGCAAAAAGCATCACTATGAATCACATCCGGCAAAATGAGGATCGCTACATCCTGTTTCACATCCACTTGTGTTTGTAGTATCTATGATGTAATGAGAAGTAACAGTTATGTAGCCCTCTGTGCCTCATGAGTCCACATGTCAGTTGTGAGACAACAGTAATCAATATTCCTTAACTCTTCCAATAACTGTTTCTGTTTGGATTCATACAACTGCAGCAGAAGGTTCCTCAATCATAGATTATATGGCGGCTAAGTGGATTGTACTTTGGGTCCAGAACCTTGACAAATTGTAAAAAGACCTTGTCGTCAACGATGGAAACAGGTTGCAAATCAGTTGCCTGCAGTAGCAACATGAGCACTACAGAGGTTACAGGTAGTTTGCTTGTTTCCACTGTCCTTGAAGTAAATCCAGATTGCACTCCTTTTTAAGGAATAGGCTGACAAAGAGATACGTACATGTATCAGTAGAAGACAAATTCAAGAGAGAGCTATTAGCTGCTATACTAAAAGTAGCAGCTAAGCAAGAAGCAGCTATAGTACTGAAAGTACTAGTTGTAAGAGAGGTTGAGGTAGCGCTGAAAACACTTGGAGAAGTTGAAACAAGTCTACTGATAAAAGCCATCACAAATCAATTGCATAAATCATATAAATAAAGACAGTCAAGAAAAACAGTACTATTGAGCTGCACTAAACTGGTAGCTTATAATTGAGTGATGCTAATAAATAAACATATTAATTATTTTTTTTCCACACCAACACCAACACCTACACAAAATATTAAGGTTCAGTAACCATTAATGGGTGTGGCCAGAAGTATTAATTATTTCTTTTCAATTTTTTCGATATTGATACATACATATCGATACTTCTTAAATATTGTAAGATTTAATACATCACCCAGTACTACTACTCCATTTTCATTGAAAAACAAAGACTTTTTGTTACAGATAAAGCTTTTGCTTACCCTAAAACACATGAAAATGCAAATACCTAAAATACAAGACAATAGAAATTTTGCATTCCGTTCGCGTTAAACGACGACTCACACTTTCATACCTATTCTGTTTAATATTGGTAACCTTCCGTTATTAGAGACATTGTCTCAAGTCACTGGATGCCATTGTACATGCATTCTTGCCTATTTGCACTATTATTCTGAGCAAAAATGGCCCAGGTGTGTATTTGAGAGTTAGAAGACAGATAAATGATCTGCTTTACTCTTAGCAAAGCTCGAGTAAGTAAGACTAACATTCTGACTAACATTGACACTTCTATTGTTACTTCGGCGGCCAGGGGGATCATTAAATCACTATAAAGTTCCATGTTAGCTGAGTATGGAGGTCCAGTAGTACTACGTCAGTCTTGGACTCGATCTATATTTTAAAAGGATGAAGTTCACGAAAAGAAAAGGCACAACAAAAATGAGGTTACTGGTTGCTGAATTTAAGGAACTGAAGAGATAGTTTTTGGAAGATGTCATTGTCATAGTTACCAAGTGTTTGTATCGAGTCAAAAAGATTTTTACATAGTTAATACTTATTCAATAAACAACATTATACAAAATTACAGTATTTAAAATACTCGTCCAGTCCATCTAGCAATAGCAGACAGCAGTGAGTGGTCACTACCAAAAAATGATAGTAAGAGAAGTGATTCCGTTTCTGGGTGGTCTGTCAAGCCATTTCAGTAGTATTAGAAGATAATTAGCTGCTCTATCAGTCACTTAACAGTGGAAACGGTTAGAGATTGGCCGAGAACAGTAAAAGTGGTACATATGTGACAACGCATCAAGTGCAGGAGAAAAATGGACAAAAGACTGTCGTTTAATGGTGAGCGCCTGTTCAACGCAAACAGAATGAGAAGTTTTGTACTGTAAGTGGATAGTTCTGTAAATGAATCTAAAGAAAACACAGTTGCTGACAGTGTGCAAGCATCTAAAACCAGTCATTGCAAAACCCCTCCTCATTCAGTGGAGTGGAGTAGTGTACATTATGTATGTGTAGCCTAAAATAGCTAAGACACTAAATCATCTGAGTCTTGATCTCACTCTTCTGAAGTTGAACTCTCCACAGCAAAACAAAAGCAACTCTTTAAGAAGTTTGAAGAAGTACATACCTCAAGGACCCAAACTATAATGCATTGTTAAACATGATCCATGAAGACAAATGTTCATCTAAAAATAGACATTTTATCAGTTTCATCTACTGCTAGATCATCTAATTCAGCATCAGGTCCTATTTCTAAACCACCATTGCCTTCTGATTCAAGTGACATGCATCAGCCAAGTCATCAAAGCACAAACAAAAAAAGGAAGGGATTGAATAGCAATTGCATTACCGATACATGTACATTAGATGAACTAAAATTGGCAGAAACGGAAAAAGATGAAAAGAAGACACTATTGGAAGGAAAGCAAAGGAGCAAGAGCAGACAAGGAAAGAAAAGACGGAACAATTAAAAAAAGAAGAAAGAGAAAAAGAAAAAAGACAGAAGAAGAGACAAAACAAAAGGAGGATGAAAACAAGAGAAAAGTAGAGGAGAAAAAGAGAGAAAGATAAAAGCAGAGAAGAAAAGACAAGGTAGCGCTAATGAAGATACAAGTGATATTTCAATGTGGTGTTTTACACGAAACTGCAGACATGTAGATGTACATGTATGTGACATTTGGTTAGATTTGAAATGTTCCGGACTAAAAAGTGATAAGATAGATTCTACAATTGTTCATAAAAAGATTGCAACAGATAAACAAGCTCTTCACAGGTTGACCGGCCCATGACAGGCTTTCTCTGGATATCAGAAGAGAACCCTATGACCACTGTAATGGCAATATGAATATGTATTTGTGAAAAAATTCCAAACTGCTTTCTAGTTAAGGATACAAAACAAAAATAACATATAGCTCTGGTCTTTCAATGATAAGCTATTTCCTTATAAAAGGGGCTTGTTACTATGCTTTTAGTGTTACTGACTTAATTATGAGCTTTAATTAAAGAGTCAAGTAACAATCTCAGAGAAAAAGGTACAAAACAAATTTGACAGTAACAACATCAACACTGAAAGTCATATTCAATGACACAGTTTACAGTAATAAGTTATCAAGGGGAAGATAAGGTAATGAAATCTGCAAATGATCGATGATAAGGAAAGTTTTAAATCAACCATGCTTTAACGGATAACAAACTGCTGCAATACACCTCCGTTTTGTTGTGCAAATATTAACGTCCGGATTGGTTGCTAGGATTGCTTGTAATAATTTCCAGGTTTCCTATCCCTTTCCTTTTAACTCTAATATCTATAATAAAGTTGTGTCTCATTGTCTCATAACATATGAGTGGTTTTTCAGAGAATTACATGAATATGTCGCAAAATCTACTAAATTTTAGGCTTGCATCCATTAAGCCAGCATAATTATTAGCATAATAGTATAATAATTTTATCGAGCATAATTCCCAGAATTTTACAGGAAATTATGGAATAAGTGGAATAATGGCTGCATGCTTAAGTAATGATCTTGAACTGGAGATATTGAATGTACTAAGACTAACAGCAGCAGTGGGTCTGACAATGAAGTTGAGTCTTCAAGTAGCATCTATCTCTCCAAGATTATGTAGAAGCTTCATTAATGCTTCAATATAATTGTAAAGATAATGATTGACACTTCTTTAACAGACTTTCAAAATTAATGTAAGGGCATTCAGTATGAATAATGAATGATTTAGTGAGAATAATGGCATGAAATATTGAGCAATGCTGGAAAGAATTATAACTGAGAAGTGAAGCATAATGTCCTCAAGCCTACTAAATTTCCAATTCGCGAATCTTAATTTCCCAAATTCTACCACGTGTCATGTGGGTACGGTATTAAATAGATTTTCGCAGATTTTATTTCACAAAATCAGGAAGGAATCTGCAAAATTTGCAACCTTTGAGAAAAAAAACACTTATACGGTAACTGCCCTGCCCACTCTAAATTTAACCCTGTAATGCCAGTCCTGGCAGTCCATGGTCAACAAAATTAATAAATCTGATCACAATTAATTATGTCTAAAGAAAAATTCCCCCAGGACCTCCTTACCTTCTGCAGTATACGAGCCTTCCCAAGGTGTCTACGCACTCCACAAAGGTCATCATCATATCTTAGGGCTCGAATAAGATCTTTTACACAGGCTAAAAGGAGACTCAATGAATCAACTTCTCATTCATCAATCCCTTCTTACCTAAACATTCTGGGCCTTTATAGTACTGGTCACCATCCTTAGTGCCCAAAGCACTGTAGGTTGCAACGAGTTCCGAGGACATCTTGCCAGTTGCCGCCAAAATCACGTGACTTTCTCACTGTTGCTATAGTTACCTGTTTATTCACGGTCACCATAGCAACTGTTAGAAAACATGTCTTTCTTCAATGTAACTCAGTTAGGACCACAAAATCCTATCAAAGTATTAAAAACTGCCAACGAAAATGCAACAGGTACTAAAGAAGAGACTCCTCCTTCCACTAACAGAGCAACCCCGCCGCATCAGCATGCTAGACCGGAGGACACATTCCAGATCCCAAGCTTGAACTCAATGTATAATCCGAATGCTTCTTCATTACCATACAAAGGATCACACAAGCTATTTAGTGAGAAGAGAATGAAACACCAACGTCATCCAAAAGGCAAGTTAATTTTTGTTGCATATTTTATGCTTAAAAATTTAATGTAGGTCCAACAGATATTTACATGTACCCCATGACTACCTCACAACAATATGGTTGGTGGATGAAATATGATGCTGGAGACTGGCCAAAGGGAGAGAAGCATGTGCATGTTAACAGTGAAATGACAAGGTTAGCCTAACAACATTGCTTAGTGATGTTAATTTTATGTTGCAGATTTGTTGACGAAATGAGTGCAACTAACAAAGACTTCAGTTTGTTTTAAGAACATCATTACTAATAATTTTGTACTTTGTCAAAATAGTATAACAACACATTATAATTATTATGTCAGGTATCTATAATTGTCCTGTTGACCACCTACTCTTTCTAAGTATTTATTCTCTATCAAAATATCCACAGATTCAATAAGGAAAATGATCATTGCAATAAAAATAATTTTGATACTGGAACTTTAGTTTTAAAACGAGATGACAACTTGTGTAACACTTCAGCTTACAATTGCTGGTGTTTTAATTTTTCCTTTTAAAAAGTTCTGCAGCTAGGCCTGCACAGCCTCAGCATTCATCAGCTAGGGTTGCATGTCTCTTATTAAGGCAGTCACTTTGGGCCATCTCTTCCCCTGAATTGGCTGCACTTAATGTTTTTTAACAACAAGACAACATAAATAAATAAGTAAAATACTTAATAAAGTTATAAATTACATTGAACATACAGTTTTATACAGGAGAGAGAGGAAGAGAGTTTGATAGAAGAGGGTAGAGAGCTCCAGTGTTTTACTGCAGAAGGAAAGAAAGAGTGGTGGAGAGAGGAAGATTTACAAAAAATAAGGTAGAGCCTGGGTTGCCTTTATTGTTGGAGCCGAGAGAACAGGTAGAGGGAGAAGCAAGAACTAGGAGATGAGATGGACAAAAAGTCAGGTTCTCCTTAAACTTAAATAGAGAAATGGTCTTGGATTTGGTTTGGCGGTGACTGAGGAAACGAGGGTTAAACTGAGATAGAAGGTCATGGTAAGGTGAAGACTAGGATTTGGATGCTAAATGAAGGGCGAACTGACTCAAGAGAGGATGCTACAGAAGGTGAGGAAGGGTCTGAAACTACAATAGAGGCATATTTTAGGATGGGACGAACTATGGTGAATGAGTGTGGAAGAGGAAGAGTGGTAGTAGAAATTTCTAAATAGTAGACCAAGGACTTTTCTAGCCTTCTTTATGATTGTGTAGACATGTAGATCCTAGGAGAAAGTGGTGGTCAAAAGTAGTCCAAGGTATTTAAAAGTAAAGACTCTTCAAACTGGGGGTGATTTTAGTTGCAGAGGGGGAAGATTATGGTTTGTGGGAGAAAATAATATTATTATAATTAGACTTTGAGCAGTTCAGGGAAAGATGATTCTCTGAGAGATCCAGTCCTTCAAGTGCAACATCTGCCATGGAAAACGTCTCGGTTTTAATTGGATGATCAGTGTACAAGTGCCCATAATCAAACCAATTGTTCCAAGATACTTATAG